ATGGTGACCTCACAGTGCCTTGCCTGGTGCCTGGCCCACTGCCACAGTGCCAGTCCAGCCAGTCCACCATGCTGACCACCCTGTGGCTGCTTCTCAGCCTTGCTGTCCCAGTGCCGGGATTCTACACTCCTATCAGCTGTCCTCGGGGCCAAAAATGTCAGCTGGCCCTGCTGTCTGGTAATGATGTCCTCCTGGAATGCCCCCTCTTTGGGGGACACTGGAAGTACTACTTCTCGATGAGCAAAGAGAGCCGAGCCTATGACCCTTCCAAGGTTTCCAACATAGAAATAACATCGGAGAACAATCTTGCCATCACCAACCCTCTGCCATCCCAGAAAGGCCTCTACCACTGCTGGGACAAAAGCAACACTGAAGTGATCCAGTTTGAGATTGACTTCCAGGACATGAGCACTGTGCATATTACACACAACGCACTGCAGGTGATGCCCTTGCAGAATCAAAGCGTGCGTGAGGGCAGCAGAGAGATCATGTTCACCCAGTGGGAGCCCTGGCAGGACTGTAACCGCTGTGGGGTACCTGGAGAACGCAAGCGCCTGGGCTACTGCTATGTTGATGAGCCTCTGGAGGACCCCATGCCCTGTGGACTCTACCTGGGGGAGGTCCTGGGTTGGTCATCCCGCATGCGGCCTGAGGTGCAAGTAGAAACCTGTTTGGTGGAATGTAAGGACACATCATTTGCCCCGGTGGGCTTTGTCATCTATGACAACTTCAAGTTCAATGAGGAACAGGAATCTTTGTGGCTCCACTGCCCTATAGCATCCATGTACAGGTGATGAGACGCGGCTCCCACTCCTGCCTCTGTCCCGAAGCCAGCTGGCCCGGTGGAAGCCTGGGTGGGGGTGGAGTTCTGTTCAGGCACCACACAAGCTCTTTGATCATCAAGATAGTGCCAGGTCTGGCTTTCAGGAAGCCCAGTGTCCAAGGTGGAGATACTCGAGGTGGTCAGAGCTGGAACAGGAGGAGCTCAGGTGGAGTGATGGGCTGTGGTGGGGGAAGCCCAGAAATTAAGAGATCCCAAGGAACCGCTGCCTCCTCCAGAAGGGCCCAAAAGGTCCTGGAGAAGAGGATAGCGACGCTAGAGTTCATGTTCATTTGCTGTTCTCCTGCCAGGAGCCCGTGGGAGATCTTCTCTTCCTCTTCCCACCGCTTCCCCTGCCCCATCAGGTGCTGCATCCAGGGCCTGGACAAACTGTCTTTGTGCGCAGCACCCTCTCCCACCTCACTCTCCTGCCCCAGAAGCTGTGGACTCAGAGGAGACCTATTTTACAGAAGGGGAACCTGGCTCCGAGGGTGCAGTTCTTGCCCAAGGGGCTCCTGGGGGGAAGGGGTGGTGCTGACCCTATATTCCACATACTCGACTGTGGGTTCTCTTACCCGTTCCCAGATGCCTATGAAGCCCTTCTTGCATGGGACACCAGCACGGGGGAGCCCAGGCAACCTCTGGCCCCCTGTAGTCACGAGCTCTGTGGAATCTGGCTTTGCTCCCTCTATCAGTTTTCCTTCTTGTGTAACCCAGCTGTGACTTCTGCTCCCCTCTCTGTCACTCTGGGACCTTGTGTGTTTCTCCCTAACCTCTCTGCTTCCTCCGCCATTAAGTAGAAAAGCAATCTGCTCCCCAGAGAGCACCACAGTTTGGAAGGTGCAGCAGAGGGAGTTTGAACCCCCTCCCACCTAGTGAGTGTCACTTGCCTCAAGGGTTCCCCAGCGCAAACCACAGGGAACACAGGATAAGAACAGAGGGACTGCTGGAGGGATCGGGGTGCCTTGTTCCTCCTCCTTTTCCTCCTCCCTCCTTTTTCTCCTCTTTCTCCTTCCTCTTCTTTTTTTTTGGCGTTTGATTTTCTTTTTTTCCTCTTTTTTTTTTTTTGTTGTTTTTTTTCTAGGACCAGGAATTGAACTCACGACCTTGAGCTTGCCAGGCAGGGGCTGTGCCACTGAGCTAAATCCCCAGCCCTCGCCGTTTGATTTAAACAACAAAGTTTATGTTCTCACTATCCTGGTGGCTGGAAATCAGAAGGTCTTTTATTTTTCTGTGAGAGGTGGCCTTTCTTCTGTCTGAGGAGTTGAGGAGTGGCATTTCTTTTTTCTTTATCATTATATAGCCTACACTGGCCTCAAACTCACAGCCATTGTCCTGTCTCAGCCTTCCGAGTGCTGAGGTACCAACATATACCACCATGGTCAGCAGGAATGGCATTTTTTTTTTTTTTTTTAAGACAAGGACTTGCTATGTAGTGCAGGCTGGCCTTGAACTTACTATGTAGCCCAACCTGGCCTGGAACTCATGGCAGTCCTCCTGCCTCAGCCTCCTGAGTGCTGTGATTACACCACACCCAACTAGAGCGGCATTGCTTGTGAGGTTTTAGTCCTGGGATCTGGCTTGGGTTGCAGCCCCATCTCTGCCTCTTTCCAGCTGTGCGACTTTGGGCCTGTAGCTTTCCTCTGTGCCTCAGTTTTCCCATTTGTACTTTAGGACTGTATTTCTTTCCTAGGGCTACCAGCACAGAGAACCATAAACCAGTTGACTTAGAACCACAGAAATACATGTGGTACCATCTTGGAGGCTGGAAGTTGGTGTCACTGTCACTCTGGTGCCTCACGGGTGGAACCCCTCCTGGCTCCCATAGGAGCAGGGGACCCTGGGACCTCTTTCTTTGGCTTGTGGCTGCCTTGCTCCTCTCTCTGTTCCATGGTATTTCTCGGCTACTCCTGCATGTCCACATCTCTCAGTCTCATCTCCTTCTCCTCTAAGACAGAGGTCGTATTGCCTCTAGGGCTGCCTATTCTGGTAGCTCCTCTTTCTAATCTGGTTATAACTGCAACAGCCCAATTTCCAAATAAGGTTCTGGGGAAGATGTGAATTTGAGGGGGCCACTACCCAACTCAGGACAGAAACCTCGGTCACCATGGCCTCTTGGGGTCATCGTGATTTAAGAGGGCCAGTGACAGTCGTGTGCCCACACCGTGTCTGGTCTGACATACGGTCCCACGCTTTAGGTAGGGATCAGCTACTGCTTTTGTGACTTTTGGCCTTGTCCCAGTGTCGGCTGGTGAGGACTCCCCTCATTCTTTGGCCATGCTAGACTCGCTGTGCACCCCACCCATTTATTGTCACACTTGCCCTGGCTGTTTATATGCTCAACACGTTCTGGGTACATGGACACAGTACAGGACAAAAATGACCAGCACTCCTTCCTGCCCTCAGTGAGAAACAAATATTTTAGATGGTAATAAAGGCTAATGGCCAGTGAACAGGCCAGTCAGGGAGGCCTCCCTGAGAAGAGCCATTTGGGGCAAGAGTAAAAGGTAGTGGAGAGCTGTGTGCATGGAGGAACAGCATTCCAGGTGGAGGGAACAGCCAGGCAGTAAGCCCCGAGGCAGGACTATGTCCAGCATGTCTGAAGACCATCTAGGATACCAGTGTGGCTGGGCCAAGTGAACAATGGGAATAGAGCAGGCAGGGCCAACACATTACTTAGGGACTATCCTTTCCTTCTTTCTTTCTTTCTTTCCTTCTTTCTTTCTTTCTTTCTTTCTTTCTTTCTTTCTTTCTTTGTCTTTTTGAAACAGGATCTCACTATGCAGTTCGGGTTGGCCTTGAGCTCACTTTGCAGTCCAGGCTGATCTCAAACTTGCAATAATCCTCCTGCCTCAGCCTCCCAAGTGCTGGGATTATAGGCATGTGCCACCATGCCCAGTTGGGACTGTTCTTTCTCATTCCTGCAAATAGGCTACTAGGGAGGCAGGTACAATCGTTACCCTCTTCTACAGCAAGAGGGTAGAAACACAAGGAGCTGGAGGCTTTGGCCCAGGTCCCAGCTGGTGGTGGGGACAGTGGTGGGAGCACCTGGCCACACAGACCCCATCTGCCCCTGCTAACTGCTGACTGGTGCAGTGGCCGCCAGGGCAGAGGGGCCACCATCTCCACCTCCCTTCTGATATCAGTCCCCCTTTCTCCTTGGGACCTTGCGGCTGACTTTGTCTCCCTTGCAGGCCCGTCAGCTGGGAGGCTAACAACACCCCCTTGACCTGGCAGAACGAGCTCTCGGGCAAGAATCTCCACAGCACCCTGGACATCCCCTCGGGCGGTCGGCAACTGCAGATCTTCCAGCCAGCCATTTATAGGTGCTTTGTGGAGCAGGAGGTCGTAGCCCAGTTCAATCCCCTGGGTGCCCTGAAGCCAAAGGAACCTCAGACAAGAGAGAACAAGACCCAGGAACCAGTCTCGAAGACACTCTCCATTCCTCTGTGGTTGAAACTGCTGCCATTCGTGGGCACAGTCTTGGTTTTGGGGCTGCTGCTGCTCAAAACCCTCAGCCCTCTCTCTGGCAAAAGCAGAAATCGGACACTGCTGGTGAAATAAAACAAGCCCTCGGGGACCCCGGTCCTGGCCTTCTACCCTTCTGGCCTCTCTCGTCCCTCCTGCGGCTTCTGCTCTCTGCCTGGGCCACATTGCCCCGTGAAAAGTTGACTGACCTGGGGGGATAGCTGAAGATGACTGAGCCCTTCCTGTTTCAGATCTGGTCTGCTCAGCCACTGCACAGAAAAGGAAACTGAGGCAAGGCTGGATGATTACTGGAAGGTGGGGCTCCAGTTCAAACCCAGCTGGCCTGGCTCAAGCCTGTGTTCCCCAGGAGGGAGCGGGAGGAAGCTCATTCTCAGAGTGAATCTTTGGGTGGGGTCAATGGTAGCCTCCTCCCTCACCCCAGCCTCTCACATAAAGGGGTGTGTGTGTGTGTGTGTGTGTGTGTGTGTGTACGGGTGGGTGTAAGTTCCAGGTCCTCCCAGGTCTGCATGGAGCTGCCTGCCTTTCCCCTGCTTGTCCCTTGCTCCACTCTTCCCCACCTATGCTGAGGCCTTCAGGCTCAGCCATAGCTCCCCAAGTTAAGGCCCATGGTGGCCTGGACACCTGTCACCCCTCCTTGCTCTGGTGAGAGAAGAACCCTCATCAGTCCCTCCACAAAGGGTCCCAGTTCTGGCTCAGCTGATCCCCCACCAGGCCTGACTGTTCCCAGAAATGACACACACAGTTCAGCAGAGTATACGAGTAAGGAATGAAATATTAATGCCTTTTAAAATTCATTGCCCTACATTTCCACTGTGAAGCAGTGACAGGGTCGATGGGAAATTCTCCCCGAGCAGAGCCGGGCCCTGGAGGACAGGGCAGAGCGTATCCCCCTGGGCCTCACACGGCCCAGGGACTCAAGGGTCTCTGCCTGAGGATGAACGGGGCCTCATGAAGAAACAGAGGCTGAGAATATCAACAATGGTTGTGGCAAATACCGTTAGACCTCCTGATGCTACCGTTGCCCATGACACTGTTGTACTAGTAACCATTTCTGCAGTCAGGAACATGGAGGCGGAGGAGGCACAAGCAACCTGCTTGAGTCACACATCTTGAGATCAGGTTGGTGATAGAATGGGGAAAGGAGATCTCTGTCCCCGTCTGCGCCCCACCCCCACATCTGTGTCTTGAACCTATATCCCCCTGGCCCCATTTTATAGGTACTGGAACAAGTACATGCCTCTGCCAGGCTGGTCTACGCAGACATGAAGGTCTCAGGACCTGAAGTTGAGCCTGTCTTCCCGCTATGGCAGCAGCCCCAGAGGTGACCCCAATGACTCCCACCTCCATTTCAGTGTGGACTGGACCTGTGACCTTGCTTCTAACCAGTAGTGTGTGGCAGTGGTATTGGGCTCTGTCCCACTCCCCTGTGATTAGCAAATTAGAGCAAAGTTGCACTGGCTTGATGACATAAGCAGCTCCTATTGTTTGGATAAGTGTCCCCAAAGGCTCATGTGTTAAAAGCTTAGTTCTCAACCCATAATGCTATTAGAAGGTGGTAGAATCTTTAGCAGGTGAGGTGTAGTGGAAGGGAGTTGGGTCATTAGGAGTGTGCCCTTGAAAGGGATATTGGGACCTGGCTCTTTTCTTGGTCTGTCTCTGTTTGCTTCTTTGTCCTTCCTGGATATACCATGATTAAGTACATTGTCTCACTATGGGCTCCTGCCCTGAAGCAACTGAACAAACCAACCAACTAACCATGGACTGAACCCTCTGAAACTGTGAGTGTTTCCTTCCCACAGCTTATCTCAGGTATTTTCTTACAGTAACAAAGCTAACGTAGCCGCCATATTGAGAAAGCCCATGTGTCAAGGAGCTGTGGGTTGTAGGGACTCCTGTAGCAGCTGCAAGTGGCCTTCAAGTCCTGAGGATGGCCTCCCATGGGCAGCCAGCAAATATCCCAGAGCCTCAGCTGCACAACCAGAAGGAAGTGAAAGTGAACCTGCCAACAGTCAGTGGAGCTGAGAAGCAGGTTCTCCTTCAGGTAAAATGAAGATGAAACCCTATCAGCACCTTCACTGCAGTCGTGTGAGACCTGGTAGGGGACCCAGGCACGCCCGCCTGCATGCCTCTCCACAGAAGCTGTGGGGTTGTAAATGGGTGCTGTCTTAAGACACTAAATTTGTGGCAATTTTTCATACAACAACAAAGAATTTATTATAGCAGTCTGAAGGAACCAAGGCAGCCAGACTGTACCAAGAACTTTAGGATCGTGAGCTCATGGCGTATTTACAACCATCCCAAATGACTCACAGAAGGAAATCGAGGCCCAAAGATGTGAATTCGTTTGCTCATGTATGCAAAGGTAATTGCGTCAGTTATGGCTGCAAAGTAAATATCCCTGCAATCAAGAGATTTTTGAATGATAAACACTATTGTTTACAAGTCTCCAAGTTGGCTGGGCAATTCTGGCCTCAGTGGGGATAGTTTGTGCTTTTCCGATCAGCTGTGAGCTGGAGTTGGCTCAGCTGATCTCAGCTGTAGCTCACTTATTTGGGAGTCAGGCCCCTGCAGGTTGGAGTAGACTCATCAGATGGGGAGACTGAGGCCTCCTCCGCATGGTCCAGCGGCCAACCCAGGCTTGACCATAAGGGGGTGACAGGGGCCCAAGAAAATAAGCAAAAGTTGTAAGGCCACATGAAGCTCAGCCCCAGAACTTGCATGCTATCTCCAGGGACTAGACTGAGCAGGCCTCAGGCTTGCCATGCGACTTGAAGTTCAAGGTTTCAGAAGGACCTTGATGTGTAAGAAGTTACCCCAAACTCAGTGGCTGAAAAAACAGCATTGCTGTATTTCTGTCCGTGTTCTAGGGGTTGGTGATGCAGGCTGAGCCCAAATGGGTAGTTAGCTCTTCTGGTCATGTTGGGCCCTTCACACACCTGTGGTCATATCAGCCTATCAGCATAGCTGAAGGGTTCTATGTCAGGCGGCTGCATGGCAGGTGGTGGGGAACCTCCAGCCTCCCACCCTCCAGTAGGCACAACATGGCATCACAGTTCCAACTAGGAGGCCAGGGCTGCAGCTGGCCTGCTCATCTGGATCTGAGTCTCTTCCCTTCCCTAGCATCCTCCACCCGCTTATCTATGTTCCCTACCTATTATTTGAGCCCCAGTAGCCTTCTGTATTAGTCAAAATGCACCTGGCTACAAGTAACAGAAATCCAAACAAAGTAGTTTAAACTGAGAAGGAGTTTACGGGCTCTTGGAATTGGGAAGTTCAGGGGTATGTCCTGCTTCAGGCACCATTAGAGCCAGATGTTCATACAATGCCCTTCAAAGTTGTCTTCCTCCATCTCTCTACTCCACTTTTTCTACACTGCCTGAATCCCCAAGCAGATGCTTCCCAGTGAGACCAGTGAGATAGACAAACAATAGGCACCTGGGGTGGAGACTTAAGCAAACCAAAATGGTCCTGGAAAAATCAAAACACAAAGAAAGAGAGGCTCAGCATTCAAACATCAGAGGCTTAACTAAAAATGGCAACCACATTGTTTCAAAGTCCAAGGGTCTGGGTAAAATGAGATGAGCCCTGGGAAGCTGGGGTACAAGGGAAGGCTATTCCTCCTGATGTCAGAAGCCTAGCTAACAGGCACACCACACTGTTTCCCCATCTCATTTTCCTGTGCCCACCAAGATAGCCTAACAAAGTGTATATAAAGCCCTACCTAAACTTAGACACCTCCTCGGTATCCTCTCTTGGAGACCCCCTTGGTTAGCGAGAGCTTTTCCTTGTTCTTTCTAATAAACCATACTTACTTTGTTCCCCACTGCTGAGCCCCTGGACTTCATCGTTCAACATTCTCAGGACCAGAGCCCAGAGGGACGGGAGAATCAGTTCCACCAAGAGAAGATGAACTGGCCTTCAGCAGTCCCAGCATTACTTCACAACAGCCTAGCAACCCCCATGGAGAGAGCACTTTTTTAAAAATGAAGTTAGGGATGGGATTCAAGACCTTGTACATACTCAGCAGGCCCTTTACCACTGAGCTACACCCTGAGCACCAAGAGCACCTGTCTTAGAACAATAGCATTATCAATGTGGCAATAATAATGCAGTGTTTACTGTGTGCCGGCACTGTTCTAAGTACATGGCAGGTGTTAACTTATTCTCATCACCCTCTATGAGGTTTAAATAGGAAACGCTCCCATTTTACAGATGAGGAAATTGAGGCATAAAGAGATTAAATCCATGACTAAGGTTACATGGATTGTAAGTGGTGGGATGGAGAGTTGCTTGCTTTAAATCACCACAGAGTTTTAGCAGAGAAATAGAAATAGTAGCAATCCTTCATTCAGAGCGGATACTGGACCCTATTCAGAGTGTCAGGAAATTATTACCATCACTGTCTTAGTTACTTTCCTGTAGCTGGGACAAAATGGCCAATACCCACAATTTAAAGGTGGGGAGGATTTTTTGCCTCAAGGATAAAACCCATCGTTAGCCAGCTCCTAGGCAGAAACAGCATAGTGGAGGAGAGCGGCACACAGCACAGCAGCCACAAAGCAGAGAGTGAAGGGGCGGGCCTCGGCAGGAGAGACGCTTTCAGGTCACACCCCCAGTGACCCTCTTCTGACCATACCCTACTTCCACTGGGCCAGCTATACTGCCCCATGAGCCAGTCGCCTTCAGTAACCCCCGTGAGTGAGTCCAGGAGGCCTCTGGGGGGACATCCTTGATCTGAACCGTTACAGCCACCATCCAGTCAATGCCTCCAGCCACCTTGTGAACTGGGCACTGTTACTGTCTCCATTTCACAGATGGGGAAATCAGGGTCACATACAGGGCTGCTGGGCCTTGAACTCCGGCACAGATGTGGAATCTGCATCCGCTGTCCCCACATCCCAGTCCTGAGCCAGGAGCAGCGCCAGCCTCGGAGAACTTCAGGGGTGAGGTGGGAGAGGGTCCCTAGGTCAGGAGAGCCCAGTGCTCCAGTGAGCCCCGTGCCTGCCTCTCCCTCTGTCCTCCACCGCCACCAGGCACAGCCTTCCCAGAACCATCTGTAGACAGACTGACCCACCACAGGCTGGGCCAGCAGGGTGAACTCAGGCAACCA